CCAGGTGCTTATGTACCAGTTAGTGGTCAGGTCCTTAGGACTTCCACCGTACCATCCACGACAATGGTAACTACAGTCCCAATGTCAAGTCAGGCCCAGGTTAGTGTGCAGCAACCTGTTTCGGTGGCTATGCAGCCACTGCCATCAGTGTCAGTGGCCATGCAGCCATTGCAGCAGTCTCCTGGGCCCATGCAACCCATGCAGTGGATGCCCAAGATCCCCTTGCTGAGTCCAAAGCCCTTCTCTGGCGACAAGAAGAAGGATGAGGACCTGGACACCTGGGTAAGGACTGTACCTACCTATGTGAGGCACAAGCTTACCAGGCCAGAGCAGGAAGTCATAGTGGCTGCCTCCTTTTTAGAAGGATCAGCAGCACGCTGGTTAAACCACCAGTACCTACCGGTTGACTTTATTACCGAGCCTCGGACAACCGGTAGTACACAACAGCAAAAAAGAAAGAAAAGAAAAAAAACAAAAAAAAACGAGGACAACAATCTGAAAAAAAAACAAAACAAAACAAAAAACGAAATCACGATTCAGACGTTTCCATCGAGAATGAATCTTCCTCGATAAAGAGGAAGATTCATGAGAGAGAGAGGGAGAGAGGGCGTCAGCCAGTGTCTGACGCCGACTTTGGTTTACCTAAGTCTATCGTCAGTGATAGGGATGTTCGCTTTACGAGCGAACTATGGCAGAACACTGCCCAACAGATGGGTACCAGACTGCAAATGACATCAGGGAATCACCCTGAGTCAAATGGACAGGTGGAACAGATGAACATAGTAGTGCAGCATTTACTAAGGCACTACATTAAGCCAAGCCAGGATGACTGGGACGAGAAACTACCTCTCATCGCCAGCCTGTACAACAACGCAGTACATAGTGCTACTGGCATGACTCCCAACCAACTGCATCTTGGTTGGAAGCCCCGTTCCGCCCTCGATTTCCTACTACCTGAAAAACAGACTACTGCAGCACCTGGTAGCATAGAATTTGTTGTCACATATGAACAGATGTTGCAGCAGACCGTTGAGCACATGAGGAAATCTCAGGATGCTATGATTGCATCTGAGAATAAAAACAGACGGCCTTCTAACTTTCAAGTAAGGGAAAGGGTCTGGGTAAAGTCATCCGAACTGGGACAGGAACTAGGAATATCTAGGAAACTAATGCCACAATATTTCGGTCCCTGGGAGGTTCTGGATATATTGGGGGAACAGTTGGATGGACCTTCTTATGTGATTCGCGTCCCACCTCATCTACGGACACACCCTGTTTTTCACGCATCCAAACTGGCACCTTTCGCAGAAACTGCAGTTTCCTTCCAGACGATCAATGCTCCCCCCAACCATGGATGGCGAAGTGGACATCGACCAGATCGTGGAGCATCGTCTGATGCCTGTTCCTCAACCACCGGGCAGAGGCCACCCTCCTAAGCCAAAAATGCAATACCGGGTCAGATTCAGACATCATCAAGGACCCCAGCGAAGATCGATGGTTCACCAGAGAAGAACTCATGAGAACTGCACCTCAAGTCATTGCAGGCTATGAAAGAAATCTTAAAGGGAAGATGCCTGCAGAATAGAAAGCTTCTCAGAGGACTATCGAAGTACAGGAGGAGGGAATGCGAGGATATGGGTCCTCGGCAGGCCTAAGGGGGCCCCCTGCAGCATATGTGCCCGCCCTAAGTGAAGGTGGGCCTAACAAATCACGAGAGGCCCTTGGCTGCCAATTTCGCATTTGGGGTCCAGGCAGTTTCGTCGCGCCAGTTGGTTGAAAGGAAACACAGGCCGAGCAGCGTGGAAACTCCCAGGCCTTCTAGGCCTTTCTGAAAGCACAGGCCCTAGGCGAGATTCGCAGCCTCATACACAGACAGTTGGGAGGCCCAACCGAATAAGGCCCAGTAGCTGCACCAGAGGCTCAGCATCCTGGGGCCTACCGGAAGCTTCTGGGCCCAGGCCAGTCCAGCCAGGCTGCCGAATGAGGCAGGCTCTTTCCATATAGGAAAGAGCTCGTTGCCTGGCGAAGGCATTCGGGCACTTGGCTGGCGGCAGCGCTGCTGGAGCGATAGTTCGCGTGCTGGCTGCTGGCATTGGAGCAAGAGGCTGCGCACGTGCGGTCGTGTGGTTGAGAAGGGCGCTGCGGGAGGGCAGCACCATAGCCCAGCCTCCATAGTTGGCTGTGGGCTTGGACATACAGTGAGGGGCAGGGGTGGTCTTCGGGTGTACAACAATGGGAGACGTGGGAGAGAGTCAAGGGGGAGAGAGAAGGATGATGATGATGATGATGTGAGGGCACATACCTGGTATTGGCGGTGATCCTGCATGAGCGACATCTTCAAGTACTTCGGGTGCTGCTGACGTCAACAGTTGCATTGTCAATTCGTAGGCTAGTAGTAACTGTGTAGGGGGTAGGCTGGGCGCCGAGCGCCAGGCAGGGAGATAGAGACTGGATACATATGTTGGTGGTGGCAAGAGCAAGCTCTCATTGACATTGACTTTCAGTGCTACGATTCTCCATTGGTGTTATATGGGTGCAATGCTGCCTCCTGAACACTGTGCTACGATTTGGCTTTCAATGTGATTGTGCAATCTGAATGTTGTCATCTCGCTTCTGTTTATTTTCCTTGCACGAGTCCCTAAGCAGTGGAAGCAGACGATTAGCTATAAACTTTAGTTAGTATGAAGTTATAATTTTTATAAAGTTATAAACCAAGATAGACGTTTTTTGTTTTGTTTTGTTTTTTTTTGTTTTTGTTTTTGTTTGTTTAAACCAAAGAGGCTCCTTTCTATTGGTGGGGAGCAGCACCTGCTGGAAACCGGTCGGTCCCAGCACCCGCTAGAAGTACGCCCATAACAAAAACGACGCATGCGGCAGAAACAAAGAATTAGTCATAAACCAACATAATAAATTATAAATTTATAATCAATTTTATTTTTATTTATGTTTTTCCCAACCAAAGAGGCTCCTTTCTATTTGTGGGCAGCAGCACCTGCGGGAAACCGGGTCCGTTTGTCCCTAGGCCATTAACGTATGCTGGGAACTGGGTCCATTTGTCCCTGGACCATAAAAGTACGCAGGAATCCGGGTCCACCGTCCCCTTAAAAGTATGCTGATGCCAAAATGACGCATTTTGTCGCCGTGGAGCGCGCGTGCGGTGGAAGCATAAACCGACGTAATAAACTAATCAATCATTGTTTTGTTTTGTTTGTGTTCTGTTTTCTTTGTTTTTCTTTCTGGTTTTTTTTTTTTTTTTTTTTTTTTTTTTTTTTTGCCTCAATGTATACATGAGGAGCAGCAGCACCGGCTGGAACCGCGTCCAGTGTCCCGTAAAACTTTTGCTGCAACAGGGTCCAGCGTCCCACAAAAGTGTGCTGGAAACCGGGTCCAGCGTCGCACAAACGTGTCCCTTAAAAATATGCTGATATTAAATGAAATGACACAACTCTTCACGCTTCCCCATGTTATGGACCCACAAATGGGGTCCAGTGTCCCATAAAAGTATACTGGAACTGGGTCCCGTGTCCCACAAAATGATGCTGGAAACCGGGTCCGGCGTCCCATAAAAAAAAACTATGCTGCTGGCAAAATGACACAACTCTTTACACTTCCCCACGTTACAGCCCATGGAACCCAGACTGACTGTCAGTGTAAAAAAAAAAAGATTCACTGTCAGTTGAGTGCATCCTGTGCCAACAGAGTCAGTTTCCCTCTCCACCCCCATCCCCCCTGACACCCCCCAACCGCTCCCGACCCCTACTTGCTGTCTCTCTCCCTTAATGAAGAAGGCCAAAGTTGTCAAAAACAGCCCTCCTGTTTCCCCCCTCCAGTCTGTCCTATGGCCTGACTGACTAGACCCCAAAAAACAGATTCAGGCTGTGTACTAGGTTTCCATAAGCTTCACTCCCCCTCCTCCCCTTCCTCCTTTTTAAGGCTTCACTTTATTTAATTTTACAAAGAATTGACCCAAGACTGAAACTCCACATCTGCGGCCAACCAAAAAAAAAAAAAAAAAACCACTTGAGAAAAAGCATGCAATCTGTTCTTCTCCTCCTCCTGCGGTGTTTCCCCCCGGCTATGCAACTGACCTGCCGCAGTGTTGTGCCATTCGAATTTCATAAGGTCTGTCCCCAGGACCCCAATTCGTCCTAATACCAACCATCAAACCGTTTCCCTTCCCTTCCCCCCCCCCCCCCCCCCC